CTTTGTTTACCGATTCTACCCTTATTGATGAAATAAAATAAATATTAATTATTTTTTAATTTTTAATTTCCTAAAATAAAGTAAGGTAATCTTAGCCATTGATCAAAAAAATGAATGGATGAGATTGGTTTACACGGTTTTTACAAATGGGTCAAGTTTTTATTTGAATGCTTCTCTCTCTCTCTCTCTCTATATATATATATATATATATATATATATATATATATATATAGGGGCTGGTTCAAATACTAACCCAAATTATTGTGCAAACTATGCTAACCGATCTTGATCGTTCATTTTCTCATCAAACGGTCCTTATTAAATGAGACTACAAAATAATCATTTAATTAATGTATTAATTGAGATGTCTATGAACAACTGTTCAAAGGGTAATTTTGTAAAAAAATTGCATCACGTCGTCAACCTATATTATTCAGACGATTTCGTAACCTCCAATCAACTACGAAACCGCCAATCTATACGATCAATAGTGTAGATCATTAGCGAAAAATCTGGTTCATAATATTCATCAAGACGATGGATGATTTTGGCGAAATGCAAACAGCTAGAAATAGGATAAGAGGTAAGTTTGACAAGAATTAGGGCTTCGATTTTCTGATCATCGTTGAAATCTGCTCACATTTGAGTTATCATAACTACAGAACGGAGACAGAGCGAGAGAATAATGAAGAAATACTCATTCTCGAACTTTACAAACACAATCGATAATCCTGTTGATGTTGATGAGGAGCCGATCAACACGAAATCGTCTGGTGGACTAGGTAACAAGCAAGCAACCATAGAAGTGAAAAACCCATCAACAATAGTTAATGAACCCCCAAAAGGTAACTAAATATAAAAGACTTACATGTTGAATGTGTTAAGCTGTTATTCAATATCGGATTTATCAAAAACACTACATTTGCTTTTAAGTTAACACACTTATGTCCATATGTTGCTTATCCCAATTTTTTGCTGTTGGTATGTAAATATTTCATCAAGGATCACACATGCATGTAAAATTTACTTATCATTATGTTCACAAGTATCTCCATTTGTAATTTCTTGGTAATTGCTTGAGTGTTTTTGGTTTCACTTATTTTTCACCATGCTATATCACATTTTGTATTACATATGTTTTTCCTATTTTAGTGAAAACTTATGTTAATGCCCAAATGTTGTTCCTATTTTAGTGACCAAATAGGTTTGTTAACATTATTTGTTCATATATATGAACAAGTATGTGTATTGACATTTGCTGTATTTTTTAAAATGGGTTACATTGGTATATCATATACGTTGTTCATATTAATTGTTCATACCAATGAACACATGTATGTTTTTTGTGTTTTAGTTTGCATTATTTGATTGAACATGTATGTAACATATTATCATTAAAA